ACGGGGGCCTAAAAGAGATCGACGGGGCTGAGGCCTAGGGCTCGGCCGAGGAGTTAGCGCCAATAGGACCTGCCGTGGCGCGTCAGGGGCGCAGAGTACACTTAATAAATGCGCCAGAGCAGAGCAAGTGCTCGGCAGAGGCAGAACAGAGCGCACCAGAGTACGGCAGAGCACGACTAAGGGGTCGCAGAGAACGGCCCAGGTTGAAATGAGCACCAAACCAAGGTGGTAGAGGACGGCACAGGCAGAGCTCTACAGAGGCAGAGCACAGCAGACCACTGCTGAGCGACAGGGCACGGCAGTGGCAGAGCGGGCAGAGCTGCCCCGGGGCGGCTCGGCCTCACTGCGCCGACACGGCTGCCCGATAGATTGGCTCGGATTTCGGGAGAGCCTGGATTGGGCCTGATGTGATGTTACCGCCTGCGGGTGACGCCCGCTACAGCCGCTACAGCCGCTACAGCCCGGCGCCGGGCCGGCCAACTGCCATTACCGGACTAACTGAAAATGATGTCGAGTCGTGCATCTGCAACCCGCCACCCCCCTGCTGTTCGCTCTGCCGCGCCCGCGCGGCCCGACAGACAGCGACCGGCACATGATGGTGTAGACACACCGGGACAGATACACGGGCATACATATGAACACCATTCGCGCTGCGCCGCAATATGTCGGCACCAAAGGGGTGTGTGTGTCCTCCTGCCGCCAGCGATGCGATCGCCAGATGAGTCTCTGGTACGCTCTGCTGGGCTGCAAAGTGCGAGCGGGGAGTACGTCGTACTCAATCTGCCTGTGGGGCAACGCGGTTGCGCCGCGCGCAGTTTGCAAAAAGAGGAGGACCAAATAACGTAACGAACGTACGTGCCCTCTACAACTTCGAGTGCAAAATCTAAAAAAAAAAAACAAAAACAAAAAAAAAAACATTTCCACCAAAAAGTTTTGGGGGCGGTTGAGCCACTGGTTTTGACCCCAGACCGTGGGGGCTGGCCAACCAGACGCAGTCGCCCCCACAGGTCCGAGGTGCGACTCACTTTGCACCACCAGACAATGCCGGGTAAAAATATATATACAACGACTCGAAAACGTGATGCACTGCAGGTGTCGTAAGAAACAAAGTTTTGAAGAACTCGCTAACTCAATCACTGGAACGGAAGAATTAAGTCTTACTTGAAAAATAAGGGTGGAGAGAAGGGGAGGGGCTGACCTTATCAGAACAACACAAGTTTTCTTTTGTCTCCTTCCTGTCGCTCGCCGTCGCCGTGTGGCTTCGTCGAGACTCTGCGCTCGGGGGCGTCATCTGGGGTCGGGGCCGCGGGTTTCGGCGGGGACAGCCGTTCAAGTTATTGTACTTTTGCCGCCGTCAGACTTCCGCCCCACGCTTCTTTGACTGGCACCACCGGTCCACGCGGTCCGACCCCCGGGGAGCCACCCACGGGCCCG